ATATTCTTATCGGCATGCGTACATCCTCACGTTAACCAACTTACGTAGTGAAACTGACTACTGTGGGTAACGTCACTTTGTTGCCTAGCTGCTTAAATGAACAAACCAGTAACTTAATGAACACTCACTTTTGATTGGATCTTGTTTTTAGCGCCTTCTTGGACGAACTACTTCGCTCTTCATTACATTTAACCGGTTCGTCTGGTTGCCTTTCCGGTGGTACTGGAAGAGGCCGAAAGTTTTCACATTCTTTACTAATTTTCTCCTTGAATTCTGTTCCGTCTTTAGTTTCACCTCTTAGATCCAACCGTACTGTCCCTTTCTCAAACACCTGTTCATTTTTGGTCATGCAACACTCGTAAATTAATCCACTTTTGTAACCATGTAAACTAAGATAGATATATAAAGAAAGTCAACCGATAGTTTGAAAACGATCAGGGATATTCTGACCAATTAAAACTTTATTTTCCTTACATTTCTGTAAGAGTTAATTTTTTTTATTCGTAAAGGATATTTTTTATTATTTATTTTGTTTCGGATATTCGCGCTGTCCGTCCACAATTTTTAACTGATACGTCTAGAAGGAAGGCAGCTAGTTAAAAGCACCCACCGCCAACTCTTGATCTAATCGAGTATAATAATGGGTTGGTTGGTTGTTTTGAATTTTGCCCAAAGCTACACGAGGGCTATCTGCACTAGCCGTCCTTAATTTAGTAGTGTGAGACTAGAGGGAAGGCAGCTAGTCATCACCACCCACCGCCAACTCTTTGACTACTCATTTACCAACGAATAGTGGGATGGACCGTCACATATAACGCCCCAAGACTGAAAGCGTGAGCATGTTTGGTGTGACGAACCCGCGACCCGCAGATTGTGAGTCTAGCACCCTACACCACCTGGCCATGCCAGGGCTGAGGATTTGTCAATTTCGGATCTTTGATAATTAGTTCAATCGCAAGTTTCTAGGCTTCGCTGTTGGAAATGGGATGTATATATTTTACACATCAAGCGCCCTACCACCTGGCCAGAATAATGGGATTTAACTGTCAGTCTGTTTTTCTCGGTAATAGGACGCGAACCAAGAACCCGCGGATCTATAGTCTGGCACGGTACCAACATTCTTCACATGTATGTTTGATTATTTTTGAATTCAACACAAATGTTTTACATTTTGACGACAATAATATTATTTTAACTTGACGTTAGCTGCTCCTCTCTTTACTGTAAGTTAGCTTACTTCTGTTGATATTTAAAAGATGTGTCAGTAATATGAAAGAAACTCCAAATCTATACTATTATTCTGCTTGTTTGTATGTACGACCGTAACGCTTTCTGACCGAGAACCTGCTGCATAAGCATGCGTAGTTAGTATGTTCCCCCCAAGAAAAACCGCGCATGCGCATTATTCACTCGACGACAAACAGCCTGCCTGCGGCAGAGAGCTCTG